TTAGAATGGCTAAAATTCAAAGCACTGACAATACCAAATGCTGATGGAGATGCAGAGCAACAGGAACTCCTATTCATCGCTGGAGGAAAGCAAAATGGTTATAGCCACTTTGGAAGACAGTTTGGAAGCTTCTTACTAAACTAAACATACTCTTACCACATGATCCAGCAGTTGTGCTCCTTGGTATTTATCCAAAGGAAATGAAAAGTTATGCTGACACAAAAACCTGCACATAGATGTTTATAGAAGCTTTATTTGTAATTGTTAATATTCGGAAACAACAAAGATGTTTTTAAGTAGGTGAATGGATAAATAAACGGTGGTACATCCAGATCATGTAATATTATTTTGTGCTATAAAGAAATAAGCTATCAAGCCATGGAAAGACACAGAGGAATCTTAAATGCATATTACTAAGTGAAAGAAACTAATCTGAAAAGGCTATGTACTACATGATTCCAACTATATGACATTCTAGGAAATGCAAAACTATGGAGACAGTAAAAAGGTCTGTGGTTCCCCAGGGTTAGGAGGAAGGGGATAAACAGGCAGAGCACAGAGTATTTTTAGGGCAATAAAACTACTCTATATGATACTGTAATCATGGATACTTGTCATTACATGCTTGTTGAAATCCCAAAATCCGTAGAACATAAAACACCAAGAGTGAGCCCTAATGTAAACTATGGACTTTGAGTGATAATAATGTGTCAATGTAGGTTCATCAATTGTAACAAATGGACCACTCTGGTGGGGCATGTTGATGTTGGGAGGACTGGGGCAGGTGGGGATTATGTGGGAACTCTGTGCTTTCAATTTCCTGTGAACCTAAAACTGCTCTGAAAAATAAAGACTAGTTTAAAGAACCATTAGGCAAAAGATTATGGGGAGTAAGAGTCAACATGGTGACCAAGTACCATTCCGCAGACTTCTAGCAATTATAAAGTGGGAAACATGCCTGAACAATGGATAAAGCTTGGGGTTGCTGCCTTCCCCTAGTGACTGAATTTACCATCATAATAACAGAACAGCCTGACACTAGACATTTTCATGTGTTGCAATAAAGTGTTCCACATCATGGATGACATTTTCTCGATAAAAATATTTAATCTGAGTATAATCAACTCTCCAATTCTAACTTAAAGTTTGAAGAAGATACAGGGAACAGAAGTCCAGTTAAATGACACCATGAGAAAAGAAAGACAAACAGAGAATATGGGGCATTCTACATGACATTTGGCCTGGAGTCCTCAAAAAGTCAGTGAATAGATAAATCAATAAATTGTTTAGAAAGATGAAGCAGAGCTGTTCCAGACAAAAGATATCACAACCAAATGCAATGCATGACTCTTAATTGGATCTTTGAGACAAATGGGGAAATTTGAATATGGATTAGATGATAGTATGAAATTATTGTTAATTATATCAGGTCTCATCATTTTATTGGAGTTTTATAGAATAAGTCCTTCTTAGGAGATGAGGGCTGAGTATTTGCAGTATAATATGATATTTGCAACTTATTTTCAATAAGTTGCCAGAGATAGAGAGGAGGAGATAGAAAGCAAATATGGTGTCCGGGCATAGTGGCTTACGCCTGTAATCCCAGAACTTTGGGAGGCCAAGGCAGGCAGATCTCCTGAGGTCAGGAGTTCAAGACCAGCCTGACCAACATGGTGAAACCTTATGTCTACTAAAAATACAAAAATTAGCTAGGCGTGGTGGTATGCACCTGTAGTCCCAGCTACTTGGGAAGCTGAGGCAGGAGAATCACTTGAACCCAGGAGGTGGAGGTTGCAGTGAGCAGAGATTAGGCCACTGCACTCCAGCCTTGGTGACAGAGTGAAGCTCTGTCTGAAAAAAAAAAAAAAAAAAAAAAAACAAGAAAGGAGTCAGGCACAGTGGCTAACGCCTGTAATCCCAGCACTTTAGGAGGCCAAGGTGGACAGATCATGAAGTCAGGAGATTGAGACCTTCCTGGCCAACATGGTGAAACTCTGTCTCTACTAAAAATACAAAAAATTAGCTTGGTGTGGTGGCGTGTGCCTACAGTCCCAGCTACTCAGGAGGCTGAGGCAGGAGAATAGCTTGAACCCGGGTGGTGGAGGTTGCAGTGAGCCAAGATCGTGCCACTGCACTCCAGCCTGGTGACAGAGCGAGACTCCATCTGAAAAAAAAAGAAGGTAAAATGTTTGGCTTGACTGTTTGGTTCAAGTCTGGGTTCTTAGAACATTTATGTGCCATTTCCCAAAGTTTTCTGTATTGGTAAGTTTTCATAATACAAATTGGGAGAAAATATTGTATCCTGACAATCAAATTGTTTAGATGATGCTGCAACTGTGTTTCACATTTTCCTAACAGAACTAAGGAAGTGTTTGTGTCCTCAATGTAGAAATAAAGATTTCGGGATACCCATGGGAAGCCTGTCATAATGGCAGTGTTATGCCTATAAATTACATCACAGGACATACCTCTACTACAGGCCACTGTGGGAGTTGAAAGTGCAGGCCGTATACCATATATTGCACTAATAAAAACACAGGTGAAGCCCAGGGAAATTCTCATGGTTGACACGCCTTTATCTTGCACATAGAGAGATCTCAGAAGTTGTGAAATAGTAATTTCAGTTGAAAAGTAGTAAACCCAAAGTTATTTAAGAGCGAGCTTGTAGCTACTGACATGAGTGCTGTTTGCTTCAGCCCCTGTGAGGACGCCCGTGCTACCTGAATGCAGTATTTCTGCAGGTAAGATTAGTTTATTTAGCCACTCGGGAGAACATTCTAAGTGTCTATAGCTGAGAATGAGTTTCTCTGAGCATGATTTAGTGCAATTTCTAAATAGGGGCGTGAAGTCATTCTATGATCATCTCCAATGTCTCTTTATTCCTCTTTGCTAATTGTTGTTTGTTTGCATGGCTTTTGGCAAGTTGAGGAGAAGAGGTGGTTAAGGACACGAGAGAAAGCCAAGAGAGAGTGGAGGGAATGTGCTTGTGTGTGCCACACACATGTGCCTGAATTCCTGTCCTGGCCCCTCACTGGGGTCCTACACCTATCAACAAACTTGTCTCCCATGCCCTCCTCAGCAATTTCATAGTTGAGGCACAACGCTAAACAGTAGAGAAAAGCTTCCCATGCCTGCATGTTTGGCATCTTTATGGCCAGCTGGCTGCAAACTCAGTGCCATACTCAAAGAGGCTCCTGTGCAAGTGACAGAAGCTAATATTTGCATGGCATTTTACAATTTATAAAATGCTTTGTTATATTTGATATTTGAAAATGTATAGCATTCCTGGGAGTTAAATATCATGCCCACTTCACAGACAAATACACAGAGGCTCACAAAGGCAAACCTTGCCCAAAGCTCTCAACTAGTCGATGGCAGGGCCAGCAGTTGAATCCACGTCTCCAGAGTGAATCCTACTCATTCCACCCTGCACAATGTGGGTGAACATGGTACTAATACTTCCTCCATTCTCGTGGCCTATTCTTCAACCTGAAGCACTCAGTACATGCCTGAAAAATGAAAGAAGATCCTTGTGATTCAAGATCCAGTTAACTGAAGTCATTTGGGGAGTTACATGTATAGTAGTCAAAAGAATAAGAGTTCTGGAATCATAGAATCTGGGCTCAAATCCCACTTCTATCAACAAATGGTGCAACCCTCAGCGAGTTATGTCACCATCTAAGCCTCACATTTACCCCACAAGGCTATTCTGAGAATGAAATAAGCACATGGTTCCATTTTAGCACTTAAGTGTTTGCTAATGGGAACGCGTCACAAATTTTATTTTCTAACTGCCTGGTTGCCACAACTGCCCCAGGACCTACATAGGAACAATTGTCTTTTCTGGTTGGCACTCTCTCTATCAAGGCTCATTTGTAGTTTTTTCTTTTATTCCAAAATTGAAAGCTTTCAGTGGTCTAAGGGTGTGGTCTATTAGTTCAGGATTGAAAAAAATGTCAAAACTCTTGTCCTCAAAGTGGTCCCAAAGCATAACAATATGTTGCTGAAATTTAGTGATTTTCATAGCAAGCTACTTGAATTTCTTTCAAGATAAATCACCTACCTGGAAAACAAACTTTCTCATACAGAAAAGTTACGAGGGAAGTCTCAATTCTCTCTTCTTCTCCACACAAAAATCCTGTGGCCCAGAGTGCCTTCTCCATAATACCTGTATTTTTTAATAGGTGATAAAACACAGCTTCATTTCATCATTGTAATATACTATATGTTTCTAGGGTTGTGCTTGAAATAGAAAAGTCTATATAAGCTTAGAGAAGACAGTGAATTTTTCATAGCTTAATCTTTTTGATGACTGTAAGCTTGAAATCTCTGAATGAACACTTTAAGTCCCCCAAATTTTTCAAGGATAATACCTTTCAGAATATAATTAATATTCTCAATAAGTTAACAAGGGGCAGCTGTAATACCCTTTCTCCTTGTTCTGTCTTGGAGGCAGCCTTCTAGCTAAAACTCAAATGCAATCCTCCCTGCCCATTTTTCGCAATGTCTTCACTATCCCACTGAAAACCAGACTCCCTGTCACACAACCCTGGGTCCAAGTCCTTTGTGGGATTGTAGTGGCACCACTTAACTGTTCTGCAACCCTGAGAGCACTTAATGTACTTCCAACATTTTAGTTTACTAGTCAAATAATACCGGGCAAGTCAAGGCTCAAAGATTTTATGTGTTTAGCTGTAAAACTGCCCTAGTAATCTGTGACCTACCTATGGGTTAAATGAGATTAGTGTAGGAAAGTGCCCTGTAGGGAAAGGTACTTGTTAACAAAAAATATTTCCATAATCATTATTTATATAAATTTTAAATTTGACAATTGTGTCAATTGTTGTTAATTTGTATGTTTTGGAGAATGAAAGGTAAATCTCAAAGGTAAATTTCCTTGTGCAAAATGCTCTCTGTGTACTGTAATTGTTGCCGTAGTGTCATGGATTTATCAGTTACCTTTTTCCTTATTCGGACATTCCTTTCTGCAGTCAATCAACATGGATGTGATTGCAGATATCTCCATAGTTTTGGGAAAATTTCTATATTACTTTTTGGAATCTTTGGTTTACAAGATAATTCCCAAGACGAAAAAGAATGTTGCTGGAGAGATTGTACTTATAACGGGAGCTGGAAGTGGACTTGGGAGGCAATTGGCCATACATTTTGCCAGACTTGGAGCCATTTTAGTTCTATGGGATATTAATCAAGAAGGCAATACGGAAACGTGTAGACTGGCCAAAGAAAACGGTGGTGAGAAAGTGTTTCCCTATACGTGTGACTGTAGCAACAGACAAGAGGTCTACAGAGTTGCTGATCAGGTAAGATGACTGGTGTTCTCTGCTTCTATTCCCAAGGAAAATACTGCATCTCGTATGCACTTTTACAGATAGAAGTTTGCCATAAATTTCCCTCGAGCTCTCTATGTGTTTCCTGCTTGACTCTGCATGTCAGAAATCAGACTGTGTAACCTCCAAAAGGGAGAACAGTGTAAACAAGGCAAGTGGGAGTCTGAGAAGACTGAGCCCAGAGCTGCCCAGCTGCGTTTTCGGGGGTCTCATTCACCAGCAGGAGGTGGTGGAAAAGAGGCCTCCTCCTGGCTTTGCAGTTCATTGGTTGTACAATGTTTAACAAGTTACTGGCCCGTTCTAGGTCCCTGTTTCTTCATCTGTAAAATGAAAGGATTGAACCAAATGATCTTTAAGATGATATCCAGCTTTAACTTTCTATGTTTTGTGATTTGTGATTCCTCTTTTTTTGTTGTTTGTTTTTGAGACATAGTCTTGCTCTGTTGCCCAGGTTGGAGTGCAGTGGTGCCCATCTCAGCTCACTGAAGCCTCCATCTCCCCGGTTCACACAATTCTCCTGCCTCAGTAGCTGGGATTACAGGCCCACACCACCATGCCCAGCTAATTTTTATATATTGTTTTTAGTAGAGACTGGTTTTCACCATGTTGGCCAGGCTGGTCTTGAACTCCTGAGCTCAAGTGATCCGCCCACCTTGACTTCCCAAAGTGCTGGGATTACAGGTGTGCAACAGTGCACTAGGCCAATGGTTTGTGATTCTAATGCATCATATCCATTATCATCATGTACTGAGGCTATATATGAAATATACAGTAAAAACAAAAAATATATATAAATATGCATTTAGTATATTTTAGACCAAATTTCCTCTTAGACTTAGCCTGTTGATATTTGTTCTAACTCCACATTAAATATTGACAAATACTCTAAATTGCAGCTACCATCTGCTATGTAGCTAGCAGGTACCCTAACAACAATGGGTCAGCTTTTGAGTAGCATTTCAGCCATGTTACCTCAAGTACGGTGTGGTGAGGCCAGATGCAGATGGAGAGAAAGAAACAGAATCGAGCGTTTCCATTTTGTTTTGCTCACTATCCCTGGGGGCAAACACAGTACAGCCTGCAGGACCGTGAAGGGGAGCACTGGGGTCACTCATGAAGCAGGGAGGTTGGGCCACTGGTAGGGGCCTTTATGTGTTTTCCTCAGAAAGGAATGGGCAAGGCAGGGTAAGCATGTTCAGCCCTGGTTAATTGTAATAACTTCAGGGGGCTCTAGGGCATAGAGGCTGCCCCTGGTTGTCTGGTACCTGGCCCTGGTGTGACTGGGGTGGGCATAGAGCAGCCCAGAGTGTGAGGACTCAATAAGGGAAGTGTTTGGATATGTGGACTTAACTGGCTGCTCAGGAAGGGGAACTGATCAGCCTCTAGCCATTGCCTCAAATAGGTCAAGACATACTAGAAAAAAACCAAAAGCCCACTATATTACAAATAGTTACTATTCTAAGCACATTACACACATCACCACTCATTTAATCAACACAATACCACCTTCTTAGGTATACATCATTATCATCATCCCCACTAACAAATGAGAAAACTGAGGAACAAAATGAATATGTAATTTGCCCAAAATCATAAAACTAATGATTAGCCAAAACCCAGGCAGGTTGAAGCCAAAGTGTGTTCTCTTATCCACTATGCTATGACCCAAAGGGGTGCAAACACTTTGATAACAGAATCTCCAAGGGATTTTCCATCCCTTCGGCAATCAATCTAAGCTCTACATATGGAATTCACTTATTGATCCATTCAAAAAACATTGATTGAATCCTACTCTGTGACACTTAACCTTCTGAAGCACCCTCTTCACCCTTATCCAGCATTTTCTATTGCCTTCTTCTTTATTTGGTGGTCCCACAGGATTTTTTCTTTATAATTCATCATGAACTAATGCAAGTATTGTATTGTAGATCCTTAGGCATATTTTAGTACAAAGCAAGTGGAATCAAAGTTAGTCCTCATTTGTAAAGGGAAAGACACGTGGCTGGAAAAGTTCGTAGACGAATATATCCGGCATGAGCTCGGGAAGTAGTCTAACAGAGCTCCAGTCCCAGTACCACTAACTAGCCAGATCAGGACCCTGGAGAAAGTTTTTTCTTCCAAAGTATTATCCCATATAATCTTTACAAGGAAGTAGGTACTATCATTTTCTCCATTTTACTAGTGATGGAGCAGAGGCAGAGAGAGTTTAAGGAACTTACCCAGGCCATAGAGCAGACAAGTGAGGGACCCCGTCACCTAGGACAGACCCAATGCTGTATCCCCAAAGGGACATCAACAATATGTGCATAATGGAAAGACCCCTTCATAATCCTCTTTCTTTGATCAAAAGTATTGTAATCTCCTGCCCTTTTGCCCCACTGCCAACCCCTAACAAGTCTTTCCTTCTTGGTCAACATTTTCTTGCTACTTAGTAGAAACCAGACTAAAAACTTTAACCTAAAATTATCTTTTCACATTAAAATGTTCTTTTCTGCACTCCTATAAATAGAATTTTTCTCAGCCAACTACTTTATATGCTTTTTTTGTATAATTTCAATTATGTAGCAACTTCCAAGAAACCTAAATACTAGGGTTGTACTTCAAGACTTTCAACAAACCACAGGCTTTACCAGATTCCTTGAAATTTGTGGAAAGGTGAATAGCAATAACAGCATTCTGAAAGTGCATAGTCATTAACTTCCCAAAATTAGATTGAGGTAACATTCTCATCTCCAACATAGAAAACCAATATATTAATAAATTGCTTTTGTTAAAATAAGCAGGTTCACAATTTATTTTCAAATGTCCAGATCCAATCAATCATTAATATTTATTTGTACGTGTGTGTGTGCATGTGCACACACATGAGACTTGCCTGTTACAGCAATAATCATTTTGACTAGAAAGAGCAGTAAATTTGGGGGAAAACAGCTTTTTGTGTGGATTTAAATTTGGTATGAATCACTGTTGCTCTTCTCAAAAGCTATGGGTCTTTTGGCAAGATCTTAATTTCTCAGAGCCTGTTTCCCCATCTGTATACTAGGATAATGATGGCTCCCTAGACTGCCTCTTGGAATTACAGTGAAAATTAAATCCCATAATCTAGATAAAATTTCTCTTGGCCCTGTTGTCCCTAAGGCTCAGGGCTTCTTAAACTGCAGACAGCAGCCACTGGACTTTTCTTAAGTGTTCAGGAACATATTAAGCTGAAGATTCCACCTCTTTCTTGGGTCCCTGTTTCCACCTCATTGGTCTTGATGAGCACTTGCTCACACTGATTGCTTCACCAAACCAATGGGATGCCCTTCTTTAAAAGTTAATCTCCTGTGGATGTTTGCCTCTGCCCTGCCTCTCTCCCTAATAGAGGAGTCTAATTCCTCAGCCCAGCATCAGCTCAGCAGTATTAACTATTCCTTTCCTAGCTCATTCCAATCTACTACATCAGCAGCAATATTTACCTTATTCTCCAAATTGTGTTATCTAGCAGGCTCAACTAGCAGTGCATGAACCAGGAATTAGAAAACAAAGCCAGGGCAGGCGGTGCTCCTTGTTTAGAAACAAAGAAACAGATGGTTATATAAGCTGAGAGATCCAGTTCAGGGGAGGAAAATCTTAATTGCTGTTTAAACATACTTCATGGTTTGCCATTGGGTCAGCTTTCTCAATGTCACCTACAAAGTCATAATAATGTGAGTCAAAAAGGTGAAGAGAGGAAACCAGTCCCTCAGGTGCTTCCTGAAGCATACTCTTCTCTGAGCAGCGCTTGTGGTATACTGGGGTTTATGCAGGCAGATGAGGTGGGCAACTTAGGAGGGAAGGGTGAAGGAAAATGAATGAGGACTTAAGAGGCGTAAGAGCGGCACAGCTGAGGGACTCAAGGCAACATCAGTCACAGAGAGTAATTCGATTCGACAGGGTCCGTTGGATGGAAGAGCACAGAAACATGGAAGTCCATTGGCAGCCGATGAAAGGCATCCATGTTTAGGATGTGTTCATGCCGAAAACTGATCTGGCTTGAGGGAATGAGATATGTCTTGCCTTCCTCCTCAAAGAGGAGTAGGGGAGATGATGCCCACAGAAGCAGGCATCAGACACTCGCTGATGTGCTGTGGAAAAACCTGTAGGCCATCTGAAGGGAACCATCCTGAGACATGCAGGGAGTCAGTGTCATTCAGACTCCACTGCCATTAGTGACCCGGGAACGGGCAGTCGTGTAACAGAAATGGGAGGTGAGGAAAATATGCTGTAGGCCATCTCCACACAAAGAATCCAGAATCTGGCTAAATCTGTTTTTGTTTTTTTTTTTTAAGATAATTTGTCATAAAGTTACTTTAAAGCTGAGGAATTTCTACATGCAAGATAAAAATATCTAGCTTCAGAGAAACTACATGAAAAAAATGAGAAAAAAGAAATTGCAACTTGGGAAAATAAATATCAAAATGCAACGCCTCAGTTGAACTAATGATTGCCTCCCTCTGGCCAGGTCAGGAAAGAAGTTGGTGACGTGACCATCCTCATTAACAACGCTGGTATAGTCACAGGAAAGTTCTTCCTCGATATTCCAGATCACATGGTGGAAAAATCCTTTCTTGTAAACGCCATCTCTCATTTCTGGGTAAATCTCTTTCTTTACCATTTTCTTTCGTTGGTGAGTACGAAAATTCCATGCAGTCCTATAAACACTTGTTCGTGCATTTCTATATAAACATACCATTTGGGGATTTTCCATTGAAAGATGTAGGGTCTCAATCCTTGCAGGGTTTATCTGCTGTGCTTTTCCTGATCTTGTTTTATTCCAAATTATCAGAGTAATTTCCTTCCCTCTACCCTCTGCAGTTCGTTCTCAAGACTTATTAGGCTGTTCAGAAATCTTTCCACCTAAATACAAACTGAGAGTGACAGTAATTATACAAGAGAGATTTAATTTAGCCATGAGTGCAAAAGGAGCTTGTGCAGAGACAGGGGCTATTTTTAGTGTGGTGGTTTATGGGCATGTAGGACTGGGCATTCTAATACAGGAATTAAGATTGGGATGGATCACAATCACCACCATTGATTGAGTACTTGCAGCCATGATGCCTTTTTCATTCTCATTTTACAAATAGGGAAACTGAGGCCCAAAGTATTTAAATGAATTCCCCAAGGTCAGGCAACTGGTAAATGGTGGCCCATGCTTACAGAAGGAAGCGTGGAGGAGGGAAAAATTACAGAAAGAGAATGAGTGAATTCATTACTCAGGAGTGTCTTTCCTGAGGCCTGCAGTGGTTTACACAATGTTGCCCAGTAGGGCTGTCTTTGATGGGGGAAATGCCCTTCATCTGTGCTTCCTAATATGACAGCCTCTAGTCATCTGTGGCTACTGAGCACTGGAAGTGTGGTTAATGGGATTGAGGCACTAAACTTTTAACTTTGTATCATATAATCTATTTAAATACATGTTTATTTATTTATTGAGACAGAGTCTTGCTCTTTTGCCCAGGCTGGAGTGTAGTGGCACAATTTCAGCTCACTGCAACTTCTATCTCCTGGGTTCAAGTGATTCTCCTGCCTCAGCCTCCTGAGTAGCTGGGACTACAGGTGGCCACCATCACATCCAGCTAATTTTTGTATTTTTAGAAGAGATGGGGTTTCACCATGTTGACCAGGCTGGTCTCGAACTCCTGACCTCAGGTGATCCGCCTGCCTTGGCCTCCCTAAGTGCTGGGATTACAGCTATGAACCACCACACCCCGCCTTAAATGCATATTTAAATAGCCACACATGCCTAGAGGCTACTTCCTTGGTCAGTGCAACTCTAGAAAGGGGTAGAGGCTAAAGGAGAGAGGAGTTACCAGAGATGTTTCCACTAAGAGGTACTTGATGCTGCCAGGGGATGAACAGGGATCAGTGGCAAATGGGGTCTGTGAGAGGAACAGGTGCTGAAACCAGGGTCTTGGGAGACATGGGGAAGTGGGGACAGGTATGGCCCCAGTCCAGTCCTCTGTGTCTCCGAAAATAGAACCTTGGAATGGGCTTCCTTTACGTGTCACCTGATTCCTCCCTCTTTCCATGCTACTCTTTTATACCACTCTCCATGGAACTATATCCTTGGTCTTCTTCCTTGGTCACCGAAAAGCTAATGGGAACCCCCACTAACCTATTTTAACCAATATTCCTTGAGCACTTACCACAGTGCTTGCCATATAATATACTTCCCAGAAACATTTGTGAAAACCATTGATTTCCTTCCCTGTACTACCCTACCCCAAACATTTCCTTCAGAAAGGGGAAATGTCATCTTACTAAATGGAGCTAGGGTGCATTCATTCCAATCACATCACAAATCTAGAAATCATCCTGATTCCTCCCCTTCCCTCACCCCACATCCTTGGCTGTCCCTGCACGACATGCCCAAGTGCATGTCTCTCCCTTCTGCCGCCAGCCCCTAGATCAAACCATCCTCATCTATCACCAACAGCTCTCCTCAGGGCCTTCCACCCTCAACACTTTTGCCTTCTAACCCATTTTTATCTGGGAGCAAGGTGATCTTTTCAACAGGTTAATCAAATAATCATCTCACTCCACAGCTGAAAAATATTGAGACTTCCAAATGCACTTAGAATAACATACAGTTGCCTGTCATGGCCTCCCTTATCTGTCCCTCACCTCTCATTCTCTCTACTTTCTGCTAACTTTCTACATGCCAAGGTTCCTGATTAAACTCCAGAGAACATCAAGCTCTTTCTCATCTGAGGGTTTTTGCACAAGCAGTTCTCTCTCCAGCAGGAATATTCTTTCTCCTGACTCACGTAGTAGCCCTTTCTCATTCTTCAGGCTTCATGTAGCCTCTGAACTTGTATCTTTATGTTGTGTGTGTGCTCTGTTGTTTGCCTTGAATCAGCTCTACAGGTGCTAAGAGCTATTAATAAACACACATAAGCCTTCTGGTTGTGTGTCAGCAAGCCTAGAGACAGATGATACTGAGCAACCACTGAAACCAGGAAATCAACTTCCATCTGAAGATGATGGAAAGACTCTTGATTCATCTCAAGAATTAGAGAACTTTTTAAAATTTTGTTCTACTGCTCTTACTAGCTCATCTATTCCAAGGCTGTGAAACCAAACCCAAGAAATATGTCTCCACCGGGTGCTGCCTGCAGTACTTCTGGGGAGAAATTGTACTGCAGTTCTTCTAGTAAGAGATTTGCTTTTTTGTCTTGAGGTCTCTCAAACCTGCCAAGGCTACTGGTTTGCCAGGAAGTGACCTCCCTTACTACCTGTAAGGCTGGCAGGGGACCTATGACCCATAAAGCAGGTATCAGTTCAATTTCCTGAGGAGACAGCTGGTTCAATATATGAACAGCAACCATCATCCCTGAAGAATAGGCTTGTCATACATGATTAAATTAAACTTATTCTTAAATGGGGCACACCTGTGCTCTGGTTGCATTATCAAGCTATTCATTATATCCTGGAAAAAGAAGGCCTGGCTCTTACTGAACAGGTACAAATAGGCACATCACCATGAAAGCTGAAGGATCTCAGTAAGTCATTGCAATAGAATCAACCCACTGCCTTCAGTAGGTTTGTGCACAAGGGCAATTAATAGCTTTCATATTATCTGTAAAATTAGCTTGATTGTATATGAATGTACAATGATTAGAATAAGTTAAATTTCATTCCACACATTTTTCTAAGCTTAACCTATTGTGAAAACATTTGTCTGAATTTCAAGTACTAAAATTATTATCATCCTTACATTCCTTTGAATCTTCACTTAGTTTATAATCTAAACCAAGATCCCCATAAGATATTTTTCCCTGAATTAAGATAGCATTCAAAAAGTTGAGTTCCACTTTGCATTAGCTTCCTGAAGAGAGAACTGGAAACACATCAAGAAAGAAAAAGGGCTTGCTCACATGCCCATCAGAAAATAGAACTTTGACCACATGAAATTTCCCTCACTGATGCTGTGACCCAGACATATACCATTAATTCTGTTCTGCCTGATGCTGGTCAGGGCCTGCTTTCACATAGTCATCTGCTCCTGGACTAAACAGGTTCTATGGACCTGGCTCAGCCCCAGACGTGACTTTGCAGGGGCCTCCTCACTGTGGCAATGTCAGCCTACACTGGGAAGCCCATTCCAATGAGTCAATCCTTGGCACGGTCCAGGCCACACTGCAACTCTGAGTGTGTCCTTCTGGGCTGTCTTAACAGGCACAGTTTCCAGTTTGTAGTACTAGAAGCCTCCAGGAAAGAAGAGGAAGACTAGAAATTACCTACTGATGACAAAACTGAATGGCTCTAGTTAATTCATTTCAATAACCAAAAATACCAAATTAAGAAAATAGAATCTGCTATTGGGATGTAAGACATAATTATTTTATAAGAATTTGGTTACTTATTATAGCAAGAGCACTGACAAATCCTCAGGGTCTTTCTAACTGTCCTGGCAAGTGTGCAGTCTCTGGGTAAATATATTTGTATTAATAAATTCATCCAAGAAAAGGTTGAGTTTCCTTTTGGAGTTGACAATTTTTCCCCACATTTTCTCAGGGCAGGTCCTAAATAGGGTTCAGCTAATTAGGAAATGTGGAGCATACCCAATATACCTCATTTTCTCTAGCGACCCTGCTGCTAATTGCTGTGTTATGATATCAGGCCAAGGGAACAGACAATGGGTGATTTGGTCACCTAAGAAGTACCAAAGATGACTCTGAATGCAAAAACACCTCTATAGATTTATTTTTCTAAACAAAAACTATGGAATAGCTATAATTGGCTGCCTTAAGAGCCAGAGTGACAATAGTTTTGTTTTGATTTTTAAATATACCTAACAGCACATCACAGTACAATTATTAAGGGATTTTAGATCTTTCAGATGCGGCAAATTTTTGGCTATTTGATTTAACAAAAAGTTAATTAGGGCTCAAGTGCTCAGAGTAAGAATATTTTGACAAGATAAGAATCCGTGCTCTCTGGGCAGACTACACAAAGGTCAAAAATAAGCTTCCAATACCTCTTGTTTATAACAGACTGGAATATTCCAAGAGATTTTAAGCTACCAGGTCCATCATCTTTATCATATTTGTTTCTTTTGTTCATTAACTTTAATATGCTCTTATATGTGTGTATGAGCTTAAACACACACAAAAACTGTATCACTATGTACCTATATCATTTTTAGCTTTCAATGATCACTTTAAAACATAAACAACTTTATCATATTAAGAGTTAAGGTGTATACTACATTGAATTTACTATCTCAATTGCAGCTTTACAAAAAACACAAGTCAAAGTGGTGCTGAGTGACTCAATACCTTTTCTCTGTGAATTTTAATTTTTTTTAATTGCATTGGTAACCAAAAATTTCTCATAAATTTATACAATTTAATATTATCCTAAAATATTCAAGCCATTTAAGTTACACTACAGAGCAATACAATCACTGGTGATATTAAAAGCTTGTCAAACGGACAACATTGAAAAATTATAAAAGGCAATGCAAGTGCAGTAACTAAGAAAAAGCAACTTGCAACACTAAAGTTCAAAAACATCAATCTTTATTTGACAGTAAAGTCATTGTTCATTGTAGCTCAATTTAACTGTATGCATATCTGTATTCTTTATAACCAGAAAAGTTTTGTGGAAACAAAGATAATCTGTCTGACCCATAAACCAGCATTGAAAAATTTAGAAAGGGTATTAATTTGGCTTTTCCATAAAAAAAAAAGTCTTACATAAATGCATTAAAATGAAATCCAGCAAATCTGATGTTTGTTTTCATTACATCCCACATGTGATAAAATCAGGAAATCCTAATTAACAGGATATAGCTGTTTATCAAACAAAATCCTGATAAACAGCATATAGCTGTTTGTCAAACAAATCTGATTTGTTCACAGATTTACTTTGATTAGGAGTAATGTACAAATCTAGATCCATATGTAATTTTCTACTAATTTCTCAGGCACTAAAAACATTTTACAAAAGGTAAAATACATTTTTGGCAACTAATTGCTGACTCAACACTTACTTTACTCCTTTTTCTTTCCTTTAATAATAGATATACATCTAGTGAGCACTAGTTATGGGTCCCTATGAGCAATTCATCTTTTAGAATGTTCTAAAAAAGTGCTCCACTGGTACATAGGGCTGCAAATTCAAACAGACCTTTGTCATTACCTATTACTTTCCCCTCTAGGAGGGAGAACTTTTCTCAACTGAACACACAAGAAGCTAGCCGCAAATTCAGCCACAGCCAAAAGTAAATACACATACAGAAACATTTGCAGAAAAAAAAAGCTGATAGAGCAAGGCAAACAAAACTAATTCCTAGGCCAGGTACCGTGGCTCACGCCTGTAATCCCCGCACTTTGGGACGCTGAGGCGAGTGGATCACTTGAGCCCAAGAGTTCAAGATCAGCCTGACCAACATGGCGAAACCCCATCTCTGCAAAAAATACAAAAACAAGCCAGGCATGGTGGTATATGCCTGTAATCCCAGCTACTGGGGAGGCTGGGTCATGAGAATGGTTTGAACCTGGGAGGCAGAGGTTGCAGTGAGCTGAGATCACACCACTGCACTTCAGCCTGGGTGACAGAGAGAGCCTCTGTCTCAAAAACCAAAACTCCTAAAAGTGGCTACATCCCTGTGAACTGTTCTACTGGTCCCTTGTAGGTGAGCACATCTTGGCACTCTTCAAAACTATAAATACCAAATTCTGACAATGTTAACATTGCAATCTCATAGAAACAGATCATGAGCATTGTAAAGGTTAGGTTGAAATCACTGATGAGAGAACCAGTAGAATAACACAACCAACAAGATAATGATATTAGAAACTTGGATTTACATAGTGAATGAGAAAAGGAGTGCTGAAATAAGAATAGATCTAAGATATGGTAGTGCTTTACTTACCTGGGTGTGTTTAGCTTGCACTGAAATTCACTTTTCCTTAAACAATTCCTCCCGTTCTGCCAAACCATCAGGGCAAGGGCAAATCTTGTTTAGGGTAAAGCCAGGAAGGTAAATGCAATTAAATTTTAATATGAATTGCTAAAAACTACATGGAAAAGTTCAGCTTACCAGAAAACTAGGTTTTAAGACTTTTAGCCAACCACAAATATAAAATGTTCATTTGATTCAATTAGTACAGTTTACCTCAAAAGAAAAAGAAATCAAATAATATAGATTAGTACATAATAACCTCTAATCTCATTGAAAACAATGACTATATGGTACCTACTTTTCTACTGCCACAGAATTTAACACATTATGGTGTTAAATAAATGTGTGTTAAATTAGTCAATTCATCAAATACTTATGAAGCAAATACAGTAATGAATGAAATATTGACAAAATGCATTTATACCTTCCAGACTTGTAAGGCCTTCCTTCCTGCCATGATTAAAGCTAACCATGGTCACCTGGTTTGTATTTCAAGTATAGCAGGAGTATTTGGTATTAATGGACTATCAGGTGAGTACTTTGTTTCACCATGTGTCACAGAACTCAGAAATTAGGACTCTTCCAAGACAGATAGAAGCTCTTCCTGCACCAAGGGGAAATCTCTGAAATAGGTGACTCTATTTATAATGCCAGCATTCTCTTTTATTTCCAGAAGGAGATATATTCTCTTAAAAAGAAAAAAAAAACAACACCGGAATATGCCTATTGGCTTTGGTCTTCTTGGGTTAGGAAACACTGATATGATTTCCATTTTTTGTTGGATATAGAGTGTGGAGATGTAAGAGTAGAGTGTGGAGATGCAGGAGTGGAGTGTTTGACCACATAAATTGACTCTGACAGGAATGCTTTGTCCCCAAGGACAAGTCAGAGAAAGGGGAAGGAGATTCCATTTTTTTTTTTTTTTTTTTTTTTTTTTTTGAGACGGAGTTTGGCTCTGTCGCCCAGGTTGCAGTACAGTGCATGATCTCGGCTCACTGCAAGCTCCACCTCCCGGGTTCACGCCATTCTCCTGCCTCAGCCTCCCGAGTAGCTGGGACTACAGGCACCCACCACCACACCCGGATAATTTTTTGTATTTTTAGTAGAGACGGGTTTTCACTGTGTTAGCCAGGATGGTCTCGATCTCCTGACCTTGTGATCCGCCCGCCTCGGCCTCCCATAGTGCTGGGATTACAGGAGTGAGCCACTGTGCCCAGCGAGATTCAATTTTTAAATGTAAGAGTTAATTCAAATTTTAAAATAATTCCAATTGTCAAGCTCTATTACTAATAGTTCCTCACTTTGTTTCAGATTATTCTGCAAGTAAATTTGCAGCCTTTGGCTTTGCTGAATCTCTCTTTTTTGAATTAACTATGGCAAAGAAAACTGAAGTTAAAACCACCATCGTGTGCCCACATTTCATCAACACTGGAATGTTTGAGGGCTGTACGAGCAAGTAAGTTAACTCTTAAAGTAATCTTTGCTCTTATAATAATCTTCCACTGTATGTCATCGTCTGATGATTTTGAAGTTTTGAAATATGGAGAGTAAAACAAAAGAAACAATGAAAATGACTAATTTAGTAAAAGAAAATTTCAATATGTATGATTTTATAAATTTATTCAATTTAAAGACAAAAATATAGTTGTGAGGTTTATGATTTAGTAAAACTTTAAACCTAAAATACTAATCAGTATATTAAAATGTAACAGAGAAATTAATACTGAGAACTTTGAAAATATTTAGCATCGTAGTATTGAGAAGATAATTTTTTCCTAAAGAGAATATAAAGGTATAAATAATCTCAGAAATAAAATATTTTGTAAAATTGATTAATATATGGGGGAAAGTATTGCAGAGTGACATTTTGGTATGAAGGTTAAATTTATCTAGAACAGTCCAAACTAGGATGCAAATATAATATGAGAACTTTTACATAGGGAGCCAATCAGTGAGTATATTGGAAAGTATAAACTGGATATGAGGACAACCGTAGTTATTACAATCATTAAAAAAGAGACTGACACAATCCAAATGACATGAATCAGCTGTATTTGTGGGACACGGAGACAGCCAACAGAAAGCCTGGCTTAGAGGCAATCAAACTATTTAGAGTCTAGTGAAGCCTTAAAATTAAATAGAAAGTTCCAAAACAAGTGGTCAAGAGTTAACAGAATGTATATGGGAAAGCTCTCCCCAAAGAGACATCTATTAAGCTGGTCAAAATTAGCAAAGACAATCATTTAAAATTTCTGGAGATTGGCCAGGTGCAGTGGTTCATGCCTGTAATCCCAGCACTTTGGGAGGCCAAGGTGGGCAGATAACCTGAGGTCAGGAGTTAGAGACCAGCCTAGCCAACATGATGAAACCCTGTCTCTACTAAAAATACAAAAATTAGCCGGGTGTGGTGGCGCACATCTGTAATCCCAGCTATTCGGGGGACTGAGGCATGAGTATCGCTTTAACCCAGGAGGTGGAGGTTGCAGTGATCCAAGATCACACTACTGCACTCCAGCCTGAGTGACAGAGCAAAACTCTCAAAAAATAAGCAAATAAATAAATAAATAAATAAAATCTCTGGAGATTGATCAAAGGGGATGCAAAAAATCGAAAAGCATTTGTTGAATAAAATCTATGGAAATTCAGTAAGAACACTAAAAGACCACAGCTCTGGGGCTTGGGACAATCCCTCTTGCCTTTTGGGATAATGGTTTCAGCAGACTTGACAACAAAGTGACAGTTCTTTCACTCTTCCTGGGGGTGAAACTGCTATTCTGGGTGGTTTGACAGCCATTGGAACATTGGCAAATCCCATTTTTAACAGCTCCATGCAGGAGAAGGCTTATATTGTGTGAATAACCTCAGCCAGACAGTGCTTGATCATCTTATGAAGGGAAGATCCAGAAAGTGACTCTTGGTGAAGAAGGCAGTTCTTCTTCCCAGAACAGCTCCTTGTTGTGACAGAACTGCTCCACTAAGCTCAGCAGTCAAGTAGCAGGTTCCATCTTCCCCAGATTCCTAAGGCAGGATACTTGTTTTAGGTAGATTTCCCAGGCAATGAGTATTAGCAGATTCCATTATCCCAGGCTCTAGGCTGTGGAAGATCCATACAGGGTAGTGGCAATAGCTGGTTGCCAGAATGGTTCCTGTCATCTCCACCTCCAACCCTTACATCCTGCTTGATAAGGACAATTTGGGTAAAGTAGCCATGGAAGAGTAAGTTTTATATTACCCTTATCTCCTGCTCCATAGCACAGAGTAACCAGGTGCCAGGTGAATGTCAAGGCCCTCCTCAAAGACTGGTATCTCTCTGCTTCTGCCATAGGGCCTGACTTCAATTGGGTAAGACCATGAACCAAAATACAAAAAGAACAGGACAATCAGCTAGCAAATTGTGGAGGTTAAGAGGCGGGTGTGATAGTAGAAGCAGACCAGCCAAAGCTTGACTAAGAGACAAGCAAAAGAGGCAGTAAAAGATTGTCTGGCTAAAACCACAGTCATCTCTGACAGTCAGGAAGATAGTGTGCATGCCCAAGATTGTATCCTCTGAGGAATGACACCAAAACTACACATTGACTGTAGAAGAGGGAGATAGACTTCGCTGAACTAGTACAGCCAAGTCACTAAATAAATAAACAAGCCAACAACCATAACAAAAAGCCCTATGGGAGAGTATTATCCAGAGTTCCTAAAATATATTATCTGTAATGTCTACTTTTTAACAAAAAATTATGAGCTATTCAAAGAAACAGGAAGGTATGACCAACATAGAAGCAAAAACATAGGTAACAGAAATTGCTTTTAAGGGGGCTCAGATATTGGACTCAGGAAAGAAACTTTAGAAAGCTATTATAAATACATTCAAAGATCTAAAAGAATCCTTGTTTGAAAAGTGAAAAAAGGTATTATGACAATGTCTCATCAAATTTCAACAGATTGAAAGTATAAAGAAAAACAAACGTAAACTTAGAAGTGAAAAAGATACGATGACAATGTCTCAACAAATTTCAATAAATAGATAGTAAACAGAAAAAAACAAATGTAAATTTAGAAGCAGAAAAGAAAAATAACTGAGAAGAAAGATTCACAAGAGCAGTTCAAGAGTAGATTTGAGTTGGCTGAGGAAAGAATGAGTAAACTTGAAGATATATGGATACAGCTTATGTAATCAGAAGAAAAGAGAAAATAAAATGAAGAAAAAAATAGCTTCAGAGAAATTTGGGACACTGTTAAACAAATAAATACATACGTGAAGAGAGTAACATTAAAAGAATATACAGAGATGCTGGGTGTGGTGGCTCACTCCTGTAATCCCAGCACTTTGGGAAGCTAAGGCTCACTTGAGCTCAGGGGTTTGAGACCAGCCTTGCAAACATGGTGAAATCCCATCTCTACTAAAAATACAAAAAAAAAAAAAAAAAAAAATTAACCTGGCATGGTGGCATGCACCTGTAGTCCCAGCTACTTATGAGGCTGAAGTAGGAGAATCACTTGAACCTGGGAGGTAGAGGTTGCAGTGAGCCAAGATCAGGCCACTACACTCCAGCCCAGGCAACAGAGCAAGACTCTATCAAAGAAAAAAAAAGAATATACAGAGAAAGGAGCAGAAAAAATATTCAAAGAAGCAAGGGCTAAAAACTTCCTAAAGTTGATGAAAAACATTAATTTACATATTTAAGAAACTCAGTGAACTCCAAGTAGGGTAGACACAAAGGGTTCCACACCCAGACATATCATAGTGAAAATGTTAAAAGATGCAAGCAAACCTATATCTTGAAACTAGCAAAAGGAAAAAAAAAAAAAAAAGGTCTCATCATATACAAAGGAATCCAAATGTGATTAATGGCTGACACCTCAACAGAAATAATGAAAGCCAAGAGGCAGTGCGATAACATATTCAAAGTACTGGGGGGAAAATTATGACCAAGAATCCTATATCCAGCAAAAGTCTCTTTCAAAAATGAAAGCAAAAGGAAGGCAAACTGAAACAGAGAATTTGTTGCTTAGCATACCGCCTCACAAGAAATATTAATGGAAATTCTTCAGAACAAAAACAAGTGACTCCTGAGAGTAATCTGAATCCACATGAAATAAAGTGACAGTAAAGATGACAAAGTAGGTAATTTTTAAAAGACAGTTCAAATGCCTATTTCTTTTCCTTTCTTCTCTTCATCGATTATAAATACAATTGTATAAATAAAATGCATATAATAGTTTTATTTGGCCTACCACATATAGAAATGTAATATTTTTGACAATAACAGTAAAAAGGACATGAGTGGGGACAAAATTATATTGAAGTACGTAAATGACACCAGATGGTAACTCAAATCCACAGGAAGAGATCAAGAGAACCAGAGATGAAGGAGGTTGATATGACAAAATCCATAAATATATACTTGTTCTCCTTCATTCTCTCAGCTTCTTTAAAATATAAAACTTACAAAGTAATAACTACAATAATGTGTTTATAACACATATAGACATAATATGTGTAACAACAATAACACAAAAGTGGGAGAGGCATTACAGCTATATAGGAGTAAAGTTCCTATATCTCACTGGAATTAAGAGAGTATAAATCTGAAATTAGTTCTGACATGTAAAGATGTATATTATATGCCCCAGGAAAAAAAAACGTAATTTTAAAAATTATCGGCTGGGCACAATGGCTCATGCCTGCAATCCCAACACATTGGGAGACTGAGGCAAGCGGATTGCTTGAGCCCAGGAGTTTGAGACCAGCCTTGGCAACATGGTAAGACTTTGTCTCTAATACGTATTTATTAGGCGTGGTGCTGCATGCCTGTAGTCCCAGCTACTCAGGAGGTTGAAGTGAGAGAATGACTTCAGCCCTGGAGGTCCAGGGTGCAATGAACAGTGATTGTGCCACTATACACCAGCCTGAGCAACAGAACGAAACTCCATCTCAGAAAAGAATTATTAAAGGATGCTCCTGTGATCAAAGGGCATAGAGAATTATAAACTAAGTATGCTTAAAAGACATCTATAGAATGCTCCACCAAACAACAGCAGAATGCACATTCTTCTCAAGCACACATAGCACATTCTCTGGGATAGACTATATGCTGAGCCATAGAACAACCATCAATAAATTTCAAAGGAATGAAATCATACAAAGTATGTTCTCCAGACGAAATGAAATTAGAAATGAAAAACAGAAGAAAATTTGAGAAATTTACAAATACATGGAAATGTGACATAGAACTTACATAATATGACTAAAGCAGTGCTTAGGGAAAATTTTATTTTAAAATATAAAACATCTTAAATAAACAAACTAATCTTCCACCTTAAGAAGCTATAAAAAAGAGCACACTAAATTCAAATCAAGCATAAGTAATAATTGTAGCAGAAATAAATGAAATAGAGAGTGGAAAACTAGAGAAAAATCAATGAAACCAACAACCTTAATGATCAACAAAATTAACAAAA